TTTTCCTTTTAGTCTTCAATATCATCGCGTCGTCTTCATCATCGAACGTAGTGAGTAGTTTTTTTTTTTTTTGAGATGAGAATAGGGTGAGTTCTGTCCATTGAGAGTTAGAGTTTCGCCTTTTATGAAGGACTTCCGGGTAGTCCCTAAAAGCCCGGCCAGGAATCGTCTTGGTGTCCGTGGCACACGACCAGGCTTATTCAGACTCATTGACATATCTCTCACGGGGAGGGTATGAATGATATGAGTCTGTCCTGTGCGTGCATGAGCGTTACGCTCGCCACGACTCCACCAGAATGGTTCCTGGTCACGCGCGCGAATAGAATAAGCCATTCATTTCATCAATTCAATGCGATTTATTTGAAACGAAAGGAACGCAAAAAAATCTATCACGACGAGTCTATTCGATTGAAAATCGTTGAACACGATTATTCCCGAAATCGACGACATAGAGATTGCCATGTCGATCGAAGGACAAAGCAACGGGACCGTTGAACTGATTTGCTCCTTCTTCTTCACCATTTCCACCCACAATGACAGTGCCCTGTTTCGCTTCTTTAGCCCAACGCATCACTCGATTATTCCACGAGTCTGCCACATAGATGGTACCCAATGTATCGACGAACAGTCCATTAGGATACCACAATTGTGTCAGAGCATTCCCTTGTCCTTGACCTCCAGCGATGACAATTCCTTCTTTTGCATCTTTGTTCCATTTCATTACACGATGATTGCTGTAGTCTGGCACATAGACAGTCTGTTCTTGATCGATAAAGACGTATCTCGGCGTGTTGAGTTGATTGAGACCATCACCTTCGCCATTGCCACCAGCCACAAGAGTTCCATTCTTGTCTCCTATTTGATATCGTCTTACTTCATGTTTGTCGTAGTCAGAGATGTAGAGATATCTCTGATTATCCATGGCCAATCCCCAACACTTGATGTTGTCGATGAGGATTTCTCCTTGAGTTGTACCACTACGACGAGACCATCGTACGACTCGTCGATTCCCTATATCACAAATAATGAGACTATCCGTCTCTTTGTCGATCAATACATCGGTTGGATTACTCAATTGATCCAATCGATTTCCGTAGCCATTGCCACCAGCTACTACTTGTCCATTCGTATCACCCATCTTCCATTGGATGATACGATGATTCCAGTAGTCAGCGATGACTATCGTTTGATCATCATCAACGAAGAGACCATAAGGGTAGTTGAGTTGATTGTTGGTACTGCCTTGTCCATGACCTCCAGCAACAGTCGTCGCATTCTGTTTCCATCGGGCATCGGCTGGAATATTAGGAATTACTACAATGAACAAAAAAGAAAAGAAATCGTCGTTGTCGAAGGGATCTCGTGAGAGCAAGCGCTAGAAATATGACATTCATTTTTGAGAATGCTCGTTCCGCAGATAAAAATACACAAGTATTTTTCTAGTTTCTCATGAGAAAAAAAGGATTTGGTAATGATTCTTACATCTATGTTACTTCTAGTTCTTGTCAAGGTCTTTTTGATCGTAAAAACAACACCTGGAGATTACTGTAAGGAGATCCTCAAAGAAAGAGTGATACTAATTCGATCTAAGCTTTTGATAGAAAAACATAGCAGAATCTTTTTGTAGGATGATTATTTATATGAATATCGGAGAAGAATTTAAGTAATGAAATAATAAACTATGTGAAACTCCTAAACTGAGAAAATTCTGAGAAGATTCTATCTATATCTTGTTAGAAGCATGCTGAACAACAAATGTCAAACGTAATTTTGTATGGTTTTGTGGAACCTTAAGGATTCAGTATGTATCTTTGAGGATGTTTTTCACATTATTTTCTGAATGATGAATGCAGATCTGCCGAACTATCTCTTAAGCATTTGCATAGAGTATGCTGGTGAGATTTCACTCAATTTTTGTCAACTTGTATCAACTCAGGTTAAAAAAACAAGTAACGCGACGCAAACGCCGCTAACCCTCTACTGAAAGGATGTGATTTCCTTGAAGATATGGTACTCACGAAGAAGACCACAGAACTAATGTGCTGCTATGCATCTATAAAAAGATAAATAGTTCTCGTCACCATGGCTCGCTTGCTAATTGATTGGATTTGATTTAACCATCGTGGGGTATGGGTGGGTGGGTGGGTGTGGGATATGTCTGAGTATGGATGAAGTGAAGACATACGCCCACACCCACACCCCACACCCAGCACCCACACTCTACATCCACACTCTATATCCACACCCCACACTCCACACCCACACTTCACATTCACACCCCACGATGGTTAAATCAAATCCAATCAATTAGCAAGCGGGCCACGGTGACGAGAACTATTTATCTTTTTATAGATGCATAGCAGCACACTAGTTCTATGGTCTTCTTCTTCGTCAGTGCCATATGTTCAAGGAAATCACATCCTTTCAGTAGAGGGTTAGCGACGTTTGCGTCGCGTTACTTGTTTTTTTGAAAAAACTCATCAAATTTAAAGAGTTTAAACCAGTTGTGATAAAGAACATTCTCGAACTCTATCGTTTTGAAAATAATCTGGGTAGAGGAACCTTAATATAGTTGAAGAACCAAAAACCAGATGTTTTGAAAAATATTAGCCGCCTTTCAACACTAGATTTCTCTAGAGCGAGCACCCTTAAATAATTCGCTATACATTTAAATCTTGTACCATCATCAGAAGCAGACCTCGAATTTCAGTTGCTTATCCTTGACTAAGTCTAATCAAGCTTAATACAGATATATGATCATATTCAGTTGTTTGGGATGTCATATTTTCTTATCCTGAACTCTGACTTTTCTGTATAAAACGGAAAGAGAAACATTTATGGCTTTTTAAGTGGGATATGTATTGCAATATGACTGTTTCTTTAAGAAAACGAAATTAGATGTCGTTTAGTTGTTTCCGTTTGTTCGGCGAGTTCAGTAGCATGACCAAGTGGCCACCACCCCAAATCAGAATAACTTGAAAAAAACATATTTTTTTCAAAATTATAGTTTTCTGCACAGCTTCTTGAAACCTTTAGGACGGCACAACTACATCTATATTTGCTTACAACACAACAAGCAAATAACGCCCTGCTAGCATTCACAAATCCTTTACTGGATAGACTATATTACGTCAAATGTCTAATAAGGAATTATTTTGGTTCAAGAATCAGATCATTTGACAATTTCTGAAGGTGCCTCAGCTTTCACTTATTATAGTTACGATAAGCCTTCTAAATCAACGCCTAGTCGTTCGTCGGCCTCCCTCCGGTCGGCCACTCACGACTAGCCGTTTCCATATATGGTTTATTTTTCTGCCTACCATTTGTCACATTAGTACTTGGATGCGCAGAAAAAATAGTTCACTCATGACGTATCGATATGTAATCAAAAATTTCCAACATTTAAATAATGTTGTGTACTTTTCGTCATAGTTTTCAATTTCTTTTTTTTTTAACAAAATGATATGTTGCCGAATTTGTTTTCAAACCAGCATTAGTTAAGTTCTTCTGAGAATCTCCCTAAACCGCTTCAGATTCATTTCAAAATTATGCTCTAAAATAACCTTCTTAGTCAACGTCTAGTCGTTCGTCGGTCTCCCTCCGGTCGGCCACTCACGACTAGCCGTGCCCACATTTAACGCCATTAAATTGTTCAATATTACTTCAGGTTTGAAGCGAATAGATGTATCTCGTTTGAATTCCTTTCGAAAATTTACTGAGCATATGTTAATACCCTCATCAAGAAGAAACTAAAAAAAAGAGAACTATTTATAAATTGCTACAGATAGAGTACATTACATTGTGTTAGAAAAGATTTTCGTCTGTTTTAAATGTTATTTTACATTTGATGCCTACGAAGAGTCAATAACTGGACTTCAAGTGACCACTTCATTTTCTACATATCTATGTATAAATCTTACCGAAAGACCTGGCGTTTTGTAATCAACAAGGAAAAAAACTTGTGTTAAAAGCAATCTCGAGCATGGATTCCTGACCCTCGACTATCCTTAAGTCAAGCTTAAAATAACAAGAAATTCATTGAAAGAAGCTTTAAAAAGGTCAAAAAGGCTTCGATTAACTTCGAATTCGCATTTTTCATGCTCGATAATGATCAGCCAAGCTTTATAGAAAACAACGATACATTAATTTATCATTAATTAATAACTGTCTATATTGGAAAGCTGGCCTCAGATTTGCATTCCTCATAGCCGATTCTCTTTAGTAGAGTTTTACTGGAGACGGTTTATATTACTGATTATTAGTTATTTGAAAAAAACAACCGAGTTTTGACTTATCAATCTTCGATTATCTTGGATTAAACTTATTAACAAAAGTATAAAACTAATTCCTAATTGTTTATTAACTTGTTATTAAAATCACATTTGATTCAGATTCGATATATTTTCCTTCGATTACTTTTCGTAGAGCTTTTTATAGACTATCAGAAGCTTTTGATATCAATCTAGCCAACACCGTCTTCCCATTGGCTAGGATGCACAAACATACAGACAGACTTTAGAATCAGCCACACATGTAGAACTGCAAACTTATTTTATGTTATATCATCTCTCTCCTTCAATCTAAGAAAAAAATCATTATTTTCTTTAAAAAACCTTCCGCAGCCAAAAACTCATTTCAAAAACTTTTACCAAAACTCGTGACGGATTCAGATTTCTCAATCTCTGAAGTCTTTGGCCAAACCGTATAGGAAACAGTTTTTTTCGTAAACAACTTTTTCCTTGTCTAAAAGGTCAGTCTCAAAAACTAATCACGGATTCAGATTCGTCGACCTCGAAGACGTTTGTTCAAACTTTATGAAAAAAACGTCGTTTTTTACCAAAAAAAATGATTTCAAACAATTTTCAAAACTAATACTACCAATCGATTCCTCGACCTCGAAAACGTTTGATCAAACTTTATAAAAAAAACATTTTTTTTGCTAAAAAACCTCTCTTTTTCGTAAAAAACATCTATTTGAAAAAATTTTCAAAAACTAATGTCAACGTTCAATTCCTCGACCCAAAAAGTCATGGCAAAGATTTTTAAGATTTGTGAAGCACTAGTCTAGTGATATGCGCATCTCTATTTTCTGATTGGTTAGGACAGACAGGCGGACAGACAAACTTTAAGGATATTTACCGCCGTATAACCCTTTCTTTCAGAAAAGGGAACAAGCCTAAACCATAATACCTGATAACAAATAAAAAAGAAATCTGATTGGCTGATTTGCCCTCCCCCCCCC